CAAGGCCAATGTCGAGAAGGGTATTTCCTAGGTTTTCTTCTAGGATTTTTATGGTATACATGTTACTACAAAGTCATGCATGGGGAAAGATCCATTAAAAATTCAAGATAGATCAATAGATCTGAATGTAGAGTATAAAAAGTTCTTTGGTATGTTTTAAGATTCTACATTCCAACTAAACTTGAAGAAACTATAACTTACCATGTTTTGGTATCGTGTCAAAGCATATCCACGATTATCTTAATTTAGTAAATATTTATGAATATAACCCACACAAACTAAAGCTCTAGGTGGGTGGGTAGGGGTGTTGCCAGTCATTCTGAAGAGTATAAAGGAGTCCTGAGGTCAAAAACATTAAAAGAAACCTCTGCTTTAGTTCATGGGTCCAAGGAAACCATGAAAAAATGTAATCTGTAGATAGTTAACTTAATTTTGATCAATATTTTCAACACTTTCTTTGAATAAATTAATTTTGATGGCTATTAGGCTGTCTCCATGTCAAATATGAATTGGTTTGATAACTCTCTAATTTTTTCTCCTCCTTTAATTTCCATTTGAGCATTATGTGGCAAAAATGTAACAAGTATAAAACCACCCCAGACAGACAGGATCATATCTATGTGAAATGACTCATTTAAAAATCATTATCATGTGAAATAGATATGATGTAATACAGAAATGTCTCTTGCATGATAGGTAGGACCAAAACATTTGCCTTTTTTTTTTTCTTTCTTTGCACAGGCTAACAGGGATATGATTAAGAAAATTTTATCTCTACTTAGACCAATTAAGATGAATTTATTTCAAGCATTTTAGAAGAGGGAACAGTGAAAAAACTGTTTATTATCTGAGAGAACTGTACACTTTTTTTTCACTTGAAAACTTAGCAGTTAGAAATTTTCTCTGTTAAAATTATGGAGTAATTTATTTAATAAGAGCTGACTACAAGGTATTTCCTTATTTTATGACATACAGATTGGGTGACCATATGATTTATCATCTAAATGGTATACTTGTAAGTATAAAAGGGGATCTGTTACTTACTAGGCTGGGATAAAAGAGGAAAACCAAGACTATCCTGGCTTAACTGGGACTTAGGTCACCCTACCTAAAAAAGTATAATGTTCTTGAAAAAGTGGAACCTTTGACATGCTATTTTAATTCCAATCTTGTTTCTTTTTGTATCCTGTGTCCCCTTTATATGTTTCTTTGATGAAACATGCCTTCTAAAAAGAAAATGTTTAAAATTTGTTGTTATATGCCCCTAATAAAAATGAAAAGCAACTAATAATTGGAACTCTCAGCTTACTTCTTTACGTCTGCCAAAGTTAGATGAAGCTTTGGGATAAATAACTGAAAAATTAATCTTAGTGATGGCTCACTGTATTTTAACTGGTATATCAGCTATTAATCTGGATACTAACACAAAGTGGCAGCTGTGGCTCAGGCTATTTTGAAAATCCAACCATCTGTTGGTTTCAAACCTTATGATTTATATTAGACATCTTAGGAACCCTGCATATTAAAGGGGCAGTGCTAAGTGGTAAATTTAACTATCTGGAAAATTAAGCATCACTACCAAAATGATACAGTAGTAAGGTATTTCATGAGTTATTTGTGGAGCCTTCAGTTGGAAATTTATTCTAAAAAATATGAAGGTAAATACTGATTTCCAAATAAACAGGAAAAATAAAACCATTTGAATGAAATTCTTAGTGCAGAGTCTGGTCCAACAAAGCCATTAACATAATAATGAATTATTAGTTGCCAAAAGTTATGGCTACCTAGTACATGACATTGCCTCATTGCCTCTGAACACATTTTTCACCACACTAATCAGTGTTTATTAATGTTTTAAAAGTGCTTACCACAGTGCTTGACATACAGTGTTATGAAATCACTAGTGACTGGGCGGTGGCTCACACCTGTAATCCCAGCACCTTGGGAGGTCGAGGTCAGGAGTTAAGAACCAGCCTGGTCAACATGGCGAAACCCTGTATCTACTAAAAATATGAAAAAAATTAGCCAGGCAATCCCAGCTACTTGGGAGGCTGAGGCAGGAGAATCGCTTGAACCTGGGAGGCAGAGGTTGCATGAGCTGAGATTACCCCACTGCACTCCAATTTGAGGGACAAAGCGAGACTGTCTCAAAAAAAGAAAAAAGAAAATGTTTCTTATTCATATCGATAGCAGTGCTAGTCATATAGAATACTTATTGCGATGGTATTCTTTCCTAACATCAAAACATCAGTTTTCTAGTTATTAAAGATTTGCATTATTCCTAATGCTTTCCTTAAATTGGCATGTGATCAACACTGGTGCATTTCAAAAGTAAAGATGCTTATATATGTGTGTGTGTATATATATAACTTATGTATACAATATAAAATACAATATAAATAAAATATATTGTATTTTATACAATATAAAATATTGTATACAAATTTTATACAATATAAAATATATTTTATTTATATTGTATTTTATATTGTATACATAAGTTATATATATAAATACATAGGTGAAGATAAAAACTTGGTTTAATTTTTTTGACCAGAAAAACAAAGTTGGCAAATCTATATAATATAGTGTTATTTTTAAAAACTTGCTAATGTGGTGAAATCACAATAGACAAACTTATAAAACTTATTAAATTCTTCTCCGTTTCAGTGACACATGGAGCCATTGGAGAGGATGTAGAATAGTAGAAAGAGACAGAGAAAGAGTTCAAACTACAGAGGAAAACGTAGCGACCAGAAGTTCCTACAATCAGACAGACCTTGTTCTAATGGTCACTGCCACTTCGCAGTTTTTAGTTGCGCAACTTTTTGCACATTTTTAATGACTCGAAACCCAGTTACCACTTCTATAAAATGGGGATAATAATAGTTGTTAGTTCATGAGGACTGAATGAGATCATGCATGCAAATCTCTTAGCGTCATGCCTGGCCATACTCAATGTTCATTAACTGATGCCTATTATTATTGTTGTAGAATTGCTACAAATTGTATATAGAAGTCTTAAGCCCAGGACAAACAAGGCTCAAGAGTGACTTATGGTAGGGTTAGTCTAAGAAAAATAAAATGTCCATTTTGCCTTAATCTTACTAAGAGTACACTATTCTAGGTATTAGGAAAAACCTTGAACTCTAAAGGACTGTTAAGACACTAGAACAAGTTGTTAAGGGATTTGTAAAATATCTTTACTGACTATCTTTTAAGATGGAAGAGATTGTATCATTTGTGAGGTTATCTAATCTGGAGGTCTGAATTGCCTCATGAAGTTTCTTCTATCATTAGAATTCATGAAACCTCTATTTTGCATTAAATTATATTTTAGTTTTTGTCACAGCTAGACCCTGATTATTATTGGATATCTGATTAATTGGAAGAGAGGTAACACAGTTATCAATCTCCAGCCCTGTTTTAAAATCCAATTCAGTTGCATCCTTTATTGTTATATAGTTACTCTTAAAATATGAATGGGGGTAGTGAAGTATGATTAGTGAGTGAATAGGTCTTGGTTGTCACACTGGCAGAGTGAATTTAGGATTCATTGATACTGCCTGAGTTGCCAATTCATTCACAGCTCCCTGCTGGCATTTGAAGCATTGCTGACCACTGTGCACATAAAAGCTTCTCCTTTACTTTAAAACTTTTTCAGTTCAATTTTGGTTATTATAATTTATTTGTGCAGTTTATTGAACAGATATCTATTGAGGGTACCAAGTGCCAAGCATTATGATGTGTACAGAAGATCAAAGATGGTAGGCAAACACAGCCATGCTCTCGGAGTTTACTTTCTAGTGGGAAGGCTTGCAAACAAACAATTACAATTTAAAGTGATAATGACTGTAATGAAGTTAATGGGAACCAAGTGAGGGTGCTTTTAATGCTGCCAGGGATTGTCAGGGCAGGCTGCACAGAAGAGGAAAGTTTTGAACTGGAAATGAGAATGTTCAGTGTGGAGGGGGGCAAATGAAAGAGATTGTCCAGGCTGTGAAAGCAGCATAAGCGACCTAGTGGAGTCTGTGCAGGGACGTGTAAGTAATTCACTCTGCACATGAATTACTTGTCTTTAAGTAGTTCAGATCTTATTTTGTAGGGAATGGGAGCCATCAACATTTTTGGAGCTGAACATGACATGATTAGATTTGTGCTTAAGAAAAGACACTCTACTGGTAAGGTATAAGCATGATGGTTGAGAGGGAGCAGGAAACGGATCAGTAAGACCAGTAAGTAGGCAGGAGTGGTAGTCTAGTCAGGTAATGATAATTGCCTGCACTTGGCATTTGCAGTGGATGGAGAAGGAGAAGGAGGGGGTGTGTATCGCAGATCTAGGTAGGCAGGAGAATCAATATTTTAAGGTTTTGGATAGATTTTGAAAAACAGAAGAGAACCCTAGGTTGGCTCCCAGATTTGGGGTTTAGACAGCTAGGTAGACAATAGTGCCCTATACCAGTTGGTGGTACAGGATAAAAGAGCCTTCTTTGGTGACAAGATAATGAGTTCAATTTTGGGCATATGAAAGCAGTTGTGGCCCAGTCAAGGGGCTTGTTGAGGAGAGAGGTCCAGGACATAGATTTTACATATATACATGACAGTTATAGGATTCAGTGGCATTAGGTTAGTAGTTCAAGCTATGGGTATGAAGGAAATAGTTGAAGGTTACTTGGGAAACCTAGAACTTCAGATTTGCTTTGTAGCTAGTTACCTGAGATATGTATTGTACAGAAAGGATGGAGACCTTAAACAAGAGGCTATGATAGAGATAAAAGGTTTTGGAAATTATTTCCATACATATGACAAATTTGTTAATTGTTTCTTGTTGGTCTGTGGAACATCAGTAGCCTAAAATGTCTCTGTATGATTCAAGATTGCATCTTCTACAGAGAAACTGGTTCTGGTAGAAATGAAGATAATGAGGACTAGAGAAACACAGAGTATATTTTATTTCCCTTTATGAAGTGTAAATTCTGTCTTTTTTCATTAACCCACAGAGATCCTTTGATATTGTATCTGACTGTAATATGTTTTATATAAAATGCCTAAGGGACTAAGTGTGAGCAACTGAGAAAACAACAGTTTGTCAATTCATGAATTGTGGTTCTATTTGATCTTCTGTTGACTGGAGTAATGATTCAGGTGAGTATTTTGTCTTGATTCTGGCTATGAGTAAAGGAAGCTGCAATTGACCATCACAGTTTTATATTTGGTACCAGAGAACCATAGCTGCCAAATATATGTTCATTGCCAACAACTTGGATCATGATCAGTGGAAGCTTTTACCTAAGCAGTCAGTGTTAGTATAATAAGATTTAGAGAAAGGCAGTTTCATGGTTTTGCTGCTTGTTCTCCAGCCATGTATTTTAGCAATTGCAATTTTGTTTATTAGTGTGGCATACATTAATATGTATGTGATAGATTTTTTTTTTTATTAGCATGACACTCTTTTTCAGTGATTTACTTTTTAGGCTTCCCCCCCCCCCCCTTTTTTGCTGTATAAAATTACTTATAGACCCTTTTAATCACTTTCTTAATATTAATTGACCAAAAAGCAGATACACATTTTTATTAAAAGGTAAACACAGAGCACTAGCAGACACTAGTAGTTTGCCTATTCTGAGCACATTTTCTTCCTTTTGGCTGGGATACAGTGGGCCTCAGGCCACGTGGGCCTGACTTTTGCTCCGGGGGTGATTAGCTCCATTCTTCTTCCTAGTGATTAGTGAAGGAAGTGGTGTGTGACCCAATTTCAATATATGTGAGAAGTCTGCTGGGGACCTCAGCAGTTTTCTTATTCTTAATCTACTGACTAGTATTTGTATTATGGGACATGGCTGCTTTCTAAGTTAAGTGCCTTTAATCTGTTAATTCTCTAGACCTTTCAGAGGAGAAACCAACATCTTTCACGAGAAGAAAAGAAACGTATTTCAGAAATGCCAATAGGACCCAATGAGTTGATAAAAAGAGATTTAGAGGGAAGGGACTACCATTTTTTAGCTGTCAAGTATTAGGTGTACTTTGCTACCATCTTAGCCATGTTGGACACTGGGTGACTGTAAGTACACATGCTGAGCGTGGGACACTAGGAGGATGAGCCGTGATGATCTTGTCAAGCCACTGAATTAACCACTTCTAGAGTGACACTACCATAGCTTATAGGATTATAGGAGATAATGACATTTATTTTTAAGCCAGACGAATCAATAATTTTTGATATTTGCAGCTGAGTGCATCCTAACAGATACACATTTCAGTTGTGGATTAAGAAATGTATGAACAGAAAATAGATTCAGTGGGATATTTAAACGACAGTTCTGACAGTTACCACATGTTGTTAAAAGGATCCATAAACAGACTAATCAGAATGAATACTGACAGGGCCTATTGGAGGCATGTCAACCGGGGCCGTGGTGGACCATGACAGATTTTGAGACCTGCCAAGAGCAGCCTTGATTTAACAGCATTTTATCTGGTATAAATAAATTTTCTTTTATTTTGAGGATTCACTTTCATTCTTCCTTATCCCTTTAAGTGTTATTAGAGGAAAAAAAGCTTTAATAATAATATATTGAGTTATTAAAGTACCTTTTATTTGAAGCTTGACATACCAGGAAATGTGACTGACTGCTGTCTTGCCCAAGGTCAAACAGTGGGCCACTTTCGGAACTAAATATAGATTGAGAGTATTCCACATGAAGAATAATTAGGACCTGTGAAAAACCTCCAGTGACTTAGAAATTGTAGAACCAAATTTTCTGTTGTTTATATTGTTAAACTACAAGTAAAATCTTCTCATTGGGCCCTGTTAGTGTTTCTGAAATATGTTTCTTTTCTTCTTGTGAAGGATGTTGGTTTCTCCTCTGAAAGGTCTAGGGCATTAAAAGATTAAAAGCACTTGACTAAGAAAGCAGCCATGTCTGATAATACAAATACTGGTCAGTAGATTATTCTTTTCTTTTTTTTTTTTTTTCCAAATAAGGTTTTAACATCCAAACATTTAACTTGTTTTTGAGAAAGTAACTCATGTTAGTTTTTGTGATTTCATTAATGCTTGAAAAAGGTCAGACTGTAAAAAGCAGGGCTAAACAGTATCTGTCTAGAATAAATGACTGTTACTGACCTTTGTTCTCCTGTTACTGTTTTGAGTTAATACACTGTCCAATGTGATTTGACACAATGGGAATGCTGGGCTCCTTCCAGCTGCACTAGGGCCATGACTTCAGATGGGGGGCTCGTACCCTCCTTGGGCCCTGGCTCTCTCACCTATTCTGGCAGCACCCCTTGACATAAGAGTTAACTTTACCACAAGCTATGTGATGATCATATTAGCTCGTAGTATGTGTTCAATAAACAGTGGCTGGAATTAAACTGGTAGCAGAGTATGCTGTAAATGTAAGGTGTCCAGATACCTGCTGGGACTTGTCAGCCCTTCTTTCAGCCTCTTACATCCAGTGCTCTACTGCTGTTATGTCCTCTAAACAGGGAGATAAATTTTCCTCCGTATTTCTCGGGGAAAAGGCTTTGACAATACATGCCGTTAAATGTTGGGCCACACACATAGAAAATAACTGACTGAATAGTAACCATGGAGTAGGCATTTGAAAATTGGCACTAAGCAGAAATGCATCAGCAGAGATTTTAGAATGACTCGTGGATTGGTGAAGAAAAAGGAATTCTTTGGTAGCTCTTGGTATCTACTTGTTTCTTCCCCTTTCCTAAATGTACATATGCTGTATATGGCACCTTATGCTTTTCTGTCTTCTGTTTTATAGAAAAAAAATTCTCTTTCCAATTGCTATACATGTTAAAATTGTATAGCATATGGCAGTTTCAAATACAAATACCTCTAACTTTTAGTTTTAGAGAAAAACAAAAGCACCGTAAAGAGAAGTAAAAAGTCTGTTGAAAATATGACTAAAGTAGGAATAATGGTTTAACAAAAAAGATTCTTGGCTTCCAGATTTCACAGTTAAGGCTGATTCTTTTTGCAGGTAATTAAGAACAGGACTTAACCAGTGAGATTTATAGATAAAGTTTTTCAGTTATGGTTTAATTGTGTTGTTTCAGAATCTTTCTCTTTGGTTACAAAATGACTACAAAGGTGCAGCAGTGGCTCAGCAATAAAGGAGAGCATCTTTTGGGTCTGGGTGATAGATGTATGCCTATCGTGGATTGATTATTGAGAGCTGAATTTTTTTTTTTTTTTTTTGAGATGAAGTCTTACACTGTCACCCGGGCTGGAGTGCAGTAGTGCAATCTCTAGTCACTGCAACCTCCACCTCCCAGGTTCATGTGATTCTCCTGCCTCAGCCTCCCAAGTAGCTGGGATTACAGGTGCCCACCACCAGGCCCAGATACTTTTTTTTTTGTATTTTTAGTAGAGACGGGGTTTCACTACAAGAACACAGAGAAACAAAATGTAGTATTGGGTATGACCATCCAATTTTCTTCAGGCCCAGAATAATTGTTTGTCTTTTTGGTACCCAATGGCAACATAAAAATTGGAGTATATTCCAAAACATCCCAGTTTCCATGAGTTATGTTTCCATGAATTGTCAAGCACTTCTTGGGCTTACCTACATTTTCACTGAAACTGTGACATTTCTTGGCATAACAGTTTCCATGAGTGGGCTACCTGCTGTGTAATGAAATCTTCCTGAATTGTCTCTTTTGTACTTAAAGGTATATCTTGTCTCCTAAGGCTTGGTTCCAAAATTTGGAAGGATAAAGTGGTTTTTCTCTTTCTTTACACTTCACCATTTAATGTCCTCTTCTCTATTCTCTCTTTTGAATAAAAGATATTTACTATTATTTTCTTTCTCATGTGTCTCTACAAGTTGTCAGACTCAAATTTCCTTTAATTAATGAGTTGGAAGCCTCAGAAGAATTGGCAATTTGTACAGTTTTGGTAAGAATTGGTAATTTGTACAGTTTGTAGAGTCAAAATCTTACAGCAAGATTTGCTTTTTATTTTGACTCCAAATATATATATATGTTCAGTTATAGGTAGAAAAAGATGCTAACCAACAGAGAATAGAGCTTTTGGTCATAGTTAAGAATTATCTTTTTCCATTAGAGACAATAATCAGAGTGGACAGTTCTAAGTACATGGACAAGAGGCAGCTGCCACCCACCCCATACTTTTTATAGTTTCATTCCTGCCATTTTAAACAATTATAATAAAAAACCCAAAATATGATAGCAGATATAAGCAACTGTCCTAACCATGATTTGTCCGTAGCCAGGCCTGGGAGAAAAGAAAGCATGGAAAGGTTATGGTTTTAAGTTTGTGAACATAGTATCATATCAGATATTTTTCCTCATCGAGGTTAACCTTCTTTTTTAAATCTTATAGTAGACCTCCATATACTGCTGAGAAGAGTGTTAATTCCCTAATAAATGGTCATCAATATTGCCAGTGATTATGTCTGTGAATGGTCCAAGTTGCTATTTTTCCTGGAAGATGAACGTGTTCAGGGGCCATTCTGCTATTTCTGTGCTCTCAATTGAGTCGTTTTTCCAAGACGTGGCAGGTAACAGTGCTAGGCTCCAGCCCCGAAAAGGGTCTGTCTTTAGGTCCTTTGTTTTAAAATGATTATATTACTCTAGCAGCATTAATAAAGGGATGTGATGGCAAAACAGGAGGAACCAAGGCAAGATTTTGAACATACTGCCATAGAGCTTGGTTAAGTAACATTTTTTCTGCATAATATTTGAAATTGTGGTATGCTGTTTCATATTGTATATAGCTGAGTCTACACACAAATTGTGTTGAATAATATAGAACTCTGGATCAGAGGCTTAGGGTTTGTAGAGCCAGACAGATTGATTTCAGATCCCCTTATTGTCACATACTCTCCGAAAGATTTCACACAAGTTACTTTGCTGAGCTTACTTTTTTCACCTGTAAAATGGGGATAGTAAATACCACCATCCTCAGAGAGCTGTCTTAGAGATTAAATGAATGAGTAAACTCAAGTGCCTGGTGTTGTGTCCAATAAATGTTAGGTTTTAAAATTCTTGTCTTAAATTTCTCCATTGTTTTCTATCTTTCATTATGATTAATTCACTTAATGCTTATGAAAAAAGTCTCTAACATTATCTAGCTTTCCTTCATTCGTGATAAATACTGTTACATACTGTTTGTTAATATCTTGATAAATACTGTTAGTTAACGACACATTTCATATATATATATATACACACACACACATATATATATATATATATTTTCCCCCCGCCTTGAGATGGAGTATTGCTCTGTCACCCAGGCTGCAGTGCAGTGGCATGATCTCAGCTCACGGCAACCTCTACCTCCCAGGTTCAAGTGATTCTTCTGCCTCAGCCTCCCGAGTAGCTGGGACTACAGGAGTGCACCACCATGCCTGGTTAATTTTTGTATTTTTAATAGAGGCAGGGTTTCACTGTGTTAGACAGGCTGGTCTTGAACTCCTGACCTCGTGACCTGCCCACCTCGTCTTCCCAAAGTGCTGGGATGATAGGTGTGAGCCACTGCGCCTAGCCATATTTCATTTTATTTTTTTATAGAGTCAGGGTCGCACTTAGTCACCCCTGCACTCAGGCTGGAGTACAGTGGTATGATCATAGCTCACTATATCCTTGAACTCCTGGGCTCAAGCAATCCTCCTCCCTCAGCCTTCTGAGTAGCTAGGACTAAGGCATGTGCCACTATGCCCAGCTAATTTTTAAAATTTTTTTGTAGAGATGGGGTCTCACTGTGTTACCCAGGCTGGTCTTGCACTCCTGGCCTCAAGTGCTTCTCTCGCCTTGGCCTCCCAACGTGCTGGCATTATAGGTATGAGCCATGGTGCCTGTACCTATTCTTAATTGCACATTTTCAGAAGCAGTGCCAACAGGGAATAATTAATAATAAAGTTAAGTTGGTAGGATTTATTGCACGAACATTGTCCTCCTGGGCTCAGTTTGAGTAGAGGACCTTTTTGTTTGGAGACCAGATATGTAAGTATTAACTCAAGATGGCTGCTAGTAGGGCATAAAATTGGAAGTAGAGGAGGCAAGATTGCTACCTGGTGCTAGAAAGACTGAGGTGCATATAAATACAGCCGTTAGACAATCTGTTCTCTTCTTCCCCTCCCCCTCAGATACTATTTTGCAACGCAAATTAAAAGCTTTATAATGAACTTACCTGATTTACAGATAAAGATATCAAAACTCCGACAAGGAGACATGAGTTTCATGACTGTTAATACCTGACATCTGGTATTCAAACCCATGGTTTCCTGACTCTAAAGGTTTTATCACTATACCGATGCTGGTGATTGGGAAATGCCAGGAGTTACTTTCCTCAGTGAAGAACGTTCCCTGCAAATACATCTTCATTGAACACAAAAAGTAATGTTTAGGATAATTGTTCACTGGTTGTTAGGCTATTTCCTTTGTTATTTCGATCACAAAATCATATAATGCTAGTACTATAGAGGATCCTAATATCCCTACTGCCTTATTTTTGGATGAAGAAACAGAGGTCCGGAGAAGACCAAGGGCTTGTCTGGTGTTTCCTAGCTGGCTAGTGGCAGTGGTAAGGCTGGGAAGAACCTCATTCTGTGTCACCTCTCCAGTGTTCAATCTTTGCTCTAGGTTCTGATGTTACCATTTTTAGGATTACAGGCCATTGATTTGCTTTGTAGTCTTAATAAGGTTTATATTATTGCTTTTAGGACTATTTTACATTTATATACAAAATAATTTTATATTTTAAAACATACATTTATATTCACTCATGTGTTGGTGAATTTGGAGGAATAATGGAAGAGTTTAAAGTTGCTGTTTATAAGTCACTAAGCTGTGAAGAAACAACTGGTTATAAAAGTGGAATTTTACTTAAAATTGTAATGTTCATTGTATGATAGAATGGAGTGTCCTCTTTAAATCAAGGTAAAATAAGCATATTTACATTTTAAATAGTCTGAAAAAGTGAAAGCAATTTAAAGACGTAAATCTCTAAACGTTAATTTTAATTATGTGGGTAGACCTGCCAGTTTAATTTAATCAGTCAGATCTTTGCTTTTTATTCCATAGATCTTCACAGTATTTCTAATTTGGAAGTCAAAGTGCATATTAATGTACCTGTGACATATAGAAACAACTGTGTTCCTTGATGACACTCTCAAATACTCTTTGATATTTGCATCAAAATTATCAAAATTCTATCTTTCAGGAAAAAAAGCATTGAAAACAGATACTAGTGTTTGTCGACATCTTCACTGTTTTTTTTCTAAAATGTAACAAATATAATTTGTAAAAGTGACAATTTTCATTTTTCCATGCTGCAGGCTCTTTTTGTTTGGATGAGTATGAAAGTAGGTGGACTATGTTCAGAACCACTTGAGGTGTTTAGCATCATCATGTTCCCTCTCCTTCTAATCCATGGGAAATAGGTGTGCCTAGCTAGTAAATAGAAGAGCAAGAAAGAATTAGGGTGGAATTTCTGGCACTAAGGGCAATTTTTCTTTCCTAGAGTGTCATAAACTAACGCTATTCTCTCTATAAGATAACAGATTTTGAACAATTATATGAAATCTGTTATTTCATGGAATAAAGTTCAAAATCTAGCCTGTCTTAAAATTAGTTGTTTTCCTGCCCCTGAATTTGCTCAATCACCTTGTGGCTTCATTCAGAAAGATGCCCTAGTCTTTTATGTTTTTGTCAGTGATGCATCTATATTTGAGTAGTTTTGTAGGCTGTTGACATATTTGATGGTATAATTTCAAAATTCATAGTATTGATTACTGCTTTAGTAGGGGAATAAGGCAGTATCTCAGAAAGCAGGAATTTAAAAGATATGCCGTACCGTACAGATAACAGTCGATAGCCTCTTTCCCCACACTTAGCCTATCATTTCTATTGTTCATACAGTTTTCTAGGTAGTTAATGGTACTTCATACAAGTTGTGGTTCCAGTGTTCTGCTCTGTTGGGTTTTCTATTCATAAACAACAATCTCTTGTGGATAAAAGAAAGCTCTTCCTCTTTAAGTAGCAGACAGAAAATATGTTTTTTTTTTTGGGTTTGAATTTTCATGTGTAATTACTGCAGTTGTCTGTAGGAGAAAGGACTCATTGTGGTTTTTCTCGGCTATCATTCTTAAAGACATGCAGATAGCCAGACAGCACACATGGCACTGACCTACGGCCGGGGACTCACAGTTTTGAGAGAATTAGGGAGTGTATAGCCACTTCCCTCTCTGAATGCCAGTC